TGTAATCCTACTACCTGGGAGGCCAAGGCTGGAGGATCACTTGAGGCCAGGAGTTTGAGACCAACCTGAACAATACAGTGAGACCCCATCTCTACAATAATGTTTTTTAAAAATAGCCAGATATTTTTAAAAAGCATGTGCCTATAGTCCCAGCTATTTGGTAGGCTGATACAGGAGGATAATTGAGCCCAGGAGTCTCAGAAAAAAAAAATTCAGGCATTAAGGACTTTAAAACCATGATTCTCAAGAACCCAGAGAATCAGTATTATATAGGAAGTTCTTAGAAATACAAATTCTTGGCCACACAGCAAACCTGAATTTTGAACCCTCTAAGTGATTCTGATTTATGCTCAAACTTTAATCTTACCTTGATGCTACAGAAGAGACTAATACTAAACTCAGAATGCAAAAGGGCATCTTCTAATTCAGGACCTATTGAAGTTATACAAATGCTAACTCATTTATCTAGTCCACTCATTGTGATGTAAGAAAGGGAAAATTTCCTGCCCCTGTTTTAAATAGGAATCAAATTCAATCTGAGTTCAGGGATGGGGTCAAACCACTGCATACAATATTTTCAGGACTGCAAAGTTAAAACTTGTTTGGTCCAAATCACCAGAAAGGACAATGCTGTTCTTTCCTCTCTTATTGAGAGTTAGGAGTAGCCCTACAGGACTCTTTTGAAGACACTTAACATCCTGACATGCTCAACAGGCAAATGGGCATTACCACAAAGCACAGGATGCTGATGAACGTGAGCAAAGGCTGGCTGAACTCACAGAGGTTTTATTTTTATGTGAGAAGGCTGACACTCTGACATATTTAAGCTTATATCGTCCCTGGATCTTGTTAATATGCTGACATATATTAACAACCACAATGATTAATAAGCTCTAACTATTACTACAGCACAGCTGGTGAGTCTTCAAAAGTGTAATTAGAGCAAAGCAAATATCACCCCTTATCTCCTATAAGACTATATGAGGAGACTCTCTTCGCAGTTTTCATGTAATGACAGGGAAGCACTTGGGCTCCTGAAAGCAATAAAGTTCTCATGTGTGTAATGAGGGTCCTGCCATGAATTCTCCCTGCAGACAGGAATTTCAAAAGTACATGCTCTCATCATCTCGATATCTGTAGCCATAATCAAAGGACACCTTCCATTTGAACAGCACCATTAGTTAGACTCCACTGCCCTGGGAGCATTAGAGGTCATCACGATCATAAGAAGCAGTGGAAACGTTCAGTTTTAGCAATTTACATGGAGTCAGCACTGAAATGTCCTATGAATCATCCCAGCAGGTGCTAGGATGTAAGCAGTGCAGAGACGCCCCAAACAGAAAAACATTCACCAAGGTCCTTACTCAGTATCTTGCAATCAGACAGTCTAAAAACAAATCATTTTAATTCAAGAGTACATGTAATTTTTTGTTTCATAACTTAGCTTTTAACAAAATTTACAAATTTAGATTTACTATAATCTTCTCAGTAATCAAGGTGTCCAAAAGTCTTAAGCCTGCCTTGACAGTAGGCCCACTAAAGTAATGGAGTAATTGGGATCTTTGCTTTCCAATGCTAATCTCTTTAAAAATTGACTTCTAATCTAAGAATTCATGTCCTTAGTACTTTTTAAAGTCAAAGCTTACAGTTGACAAGAATCAAGTCTATATCTCATATATATCATAGGTTTATACAGCTATTTTTTATTTTAGACTATCTATGGACTTCCTTTTATGTATGGAGAATGTAAATTTGGTTCTCTTTCTGCTCTGTTGAATACACATACAAATATTTTCCCATCTATCTTTCCAATACCATTATATCACAGCTTTTTAATAACTCAATGTTTAAATTATTATACCTATGTAAATACTGTGAGATCTATAATATGTATTTTCTTCCTTTTATAACTTTTTTGGAGTTAATAGTTTCTTTCAATTGTTTACCTTGCTTACTTTTTCGATTGCTTTTCTCTAATTTATTCCCAAACTTTCCAAAGGAACTGAAAACCTTTCTCATTATGGTCAGATCCCAGTGAGTTACCCGTTAATTCAATTCCTCCACTGGAGATACCCACACATTCTTTGGAGCTCTCTGGCTCATTCTAGTCTAACTGGATTGTTCTCTAGCCCTGTTGCCCAGCTATCATCCAGGGACCTTTCCTTACTGTCATTCTGAGAATCCCCTTCTCTCTTATGTTGGATTGATGGTGTATATACTCTATAAACTTCCTAAGAAAAGTCATGAGAGATTTATACTTTTGAGACCTCATTTTTAAAATGAAATGCTTAAAAATGTCCTTATTCTTCTCCAACACTTGATTGGTGGTTTGGGTAGATAAACTATTCTAGGTTCTAAGTTTATTGTTTTCTAGTTTTCAGATATTATTGAAAAATAAGGCACCATTCTTTTTCCTGATACTTTATAAGTGATCTGTTTTATTCTCTCTAGATATTTTTATTTGTTTGGTAAATCTATTCTGTTCCTTTTTCCTAGAATTTCTATTAGATGCTAAACCACCTGTACTGATCATTTTGTTTTCTTATTATTTATTAACTATATTCTGGATATTTTCCCCAATTTTATCTCCCAAATCTTCTACTGAATTTTTTTTTTTCTGTGATGGAAATTATAATTTCAAGAGCTCTTTCTTATTCAGGGCATATTTATTTTTGTTTGTTTCTTGGAGGTATTGGTAATATCTTTTAGGATTTAAATAATTTTTGAACTTTCATTTTATTTCCTACAATATGTTTCCCAAGTCCTTTGTTTTTACTTTAATCTCTCTCTTGCTTGTTCAGTTTCCTCAGATATTGTCTGCCACCTGGCTAGATCTTCAAATTTAAGCATGAGACATTACAATCAATTTAAGTTCTTTCTGTGGATTCAGGGATTATTGAGCAGTAGGGATTACTGCCTGGTAGGACTCATTCCCACCATTTCTTGGGAGAACATTAATATTTTTAGGATTCTCAGACTGGTAAATGTTCTCAGAGAGATATCTTCTAAAAAGCTCATTCTCTTCCAGATTTAAGGGGTACCTATGTTATTAGCCAGTGCTTCAGAAGCCAAGTAGGGGAGTTGTTGGGGATTTCATCATTCAACATGCAGACTTTCTCTTCTTCTTTCTATTTTCATCATATCAAATCACCCTGCCTTTTGGTGTCCCTCATGTCCCTTCATGCAGAGCCTCCCTGATTCAATGTCCCCCCCCCCAAATTAAATCCACTGTCCTCTGTCTTGACTGTAGACAGGAATTTCCTGGCTGTGCCAGTGGAGGGGAAAGGATATGGGGTCTATTTCATCTTATTTGTATTGTTTACCAATCCTATTTTTATTTTCACTCACATCTTGTCCTCAGAGGTAACTGAGGCCTCTAACTCCTGGGCCTTTCTGAGATTCTGTGTGTTCAGTTGGCTTGCTTCTCCGAGCCTGCTGCTCACATTCTCTTCTTTCCCACATACATCTTAGGTGCTGACCTTAGAGCTTTCTCGGTTTTCTAAATCAGTTATCACTCATCTATTTGTTTTCAAGTTCATTAAAGCTCTCATTACTCTCATTTCCCCTTTGTTCCCCTTTTTCCTATAGGTCTCTATCAGCTTTATTCCTTTTTTTATTTTTATGGGGATCCAAAGAAAGATAAGAATGTACCTTTACTTTATGATTCTAATGCTTATTTCTAAAAAAAACATACAAACTAGAAGGGAATTTAAATATCACCTATTTAATTCAGTGTTATTTAAATGTTTTTGCAGTGAAATCTATTTTTTTCAAGACACAACCTTAGTTAGAAATCTAATTTATAAAACAGATAAAAGTGAAACTATTTTGGTTGAAGCTGGTAAAGAACAGAATCTGTATGTAATTTCTCTTAAAAATATATAAAAATATTTATTAAGGGTCTCTTCTGTGCCTGGAAAAACAGATGAGCAGCACCAACACTCCTTTTAACCCCATGGTGCTCAGTATATCCCCTTTGTCTAATCCTGGAGGTGCCTAAGGAACCTAGTTTGAAAATTACTGATCTAATCAAACTGAGGTCCAGAGAGGGAAAATTACTTAGTCATAGGAAAGCCTTTCTGATCTTCAAGTCCATACTTGGGAGTTAAATGTTTATAACTTTACATAACTTTAATAAATGATACTGATACGCAATTAAAGAGATCACAGGGCGATAGAGGAGAGCTATGTTATGACTGAGATTTCCCACATGGAAACATAGAGTAAGCTAGAAAAAAGATATAAGTTGTAAATAGAGCTCCTAATGAAATACTGAATGTTTGCCCACTTGAAAACTTAATTGTTTATCTTTATTCCTGCCATTCCCTTTGAAGAAATTACTTTTGGTTATGCAGTTAAAATTTAAAATAAAAAACTCATAATCAGGCTTGAAAGAAAATAAATCTGAGTTTTTTTCATCTAGGACATGAAAGAATATTCTGTGTGACAATTTATCAGTTAGTGCTATAAGTTATCACTATTGATCTTCTTGGATTAAAAAAAATAGAACTTAAGAAATAGGGTTTTACCCTGAAAGCACGGCAATCCTGTTTATCGAGACTGACAATACTAAAGAAATTGCAGCTTTGTTTTTCAGACTAAATTTCTTCAAATAACTGACTAATCTTTGGAGTGATGATCCTTTCAGCTTGACTGAATGCAATCTGCTTCTCCAGGACAAAGGAGAGAGGGAGAGTCCTTTTCTAGAGACTATAAAATCTGTATTTTCTACTGCCAGGCTACCATTTGATCACACAGGAGTACAGAATTTCAATTATTTCATCCTTGGAGCCTGAGAGTCACTTAGAATAATAACAAGCAATTCTCTCAGTTTCTTGGCCATTGGGCCAGATACTCAACTATGTTGGTCTCAGTTTTCTCTTTTGTAAAACTAGGAGGTTGAATTGAAATATCTATAAGATTCCTTCTAAGCTTTCTACTTCCTGGATATTCCCATAGTCAGTAGCTATCACTGTATTTTGGAGTCTGAAGAAACTTACCTAGAGAGGTGCAACCTAGAACATTTTCCAAACACCTGGCCAATGCTTCAATATCACTGTCCTGTAAAAACAAGAGAGAAAGATTTACTTTCCTTGTATGATGGAAGAATACTGAATGACATGGAAATATGTTTTTGTGATATCTAGGCCAAACAAAACAAAAAAATCTGGTTGCAAAATTCTTTTACAATATAATCCTAGTTTTAAAAAGAAAACTATCTATATATACTCTAGAACCCCCATAGTTGATCACCTCTCTACATTGAACACCTCAAGCTGACCCAATTTTCATAGACCAGATATTCACAGCATGTACCTATCAGCATAGTAGGCCTAGTTCCTTATGTTGACCACCTCTGTCTATTGACCAGTTTGCTACAGTCTCGTGGGTGGTCAACTTACAGAGGTTCTACTGTATATATACCTACATTTCTCTTTCCATATCCATTTCTAGATATATTGCTGTATCTCTTATGGGAAGAATACACACCAAAAATGTTAACAGTGGTTTTGACTAAAAGATGAGCTTATAAGTGATCTATCTTTTCTCCTTTGTGTGTTTACATCTTTTCCAAGTTTTCTATAATAAACAACTATTACTTAATCTATAAAAATAATAAATGTTATTACAATGAAAGAAAAGTTTTGTTCAATCTTATATATGCTGATATACTATGCTGATATGTACATGCAGTGGACGTCTGGTCTATGATATTTGCTTAATAAAGTAGAAATCAAGTGAGTATTTTTTTTTTCCCAGAGAATATTTCTAATAGCTCTTCTTGGATGTTTATGGTCTTCATGAAATAATAAACTTAAAAGTTGCACTCCTTATTTACCTTAACCCTCAACAAGAGTCAGACATCACCTATGAGGGTTGGGAGTCTCAGAAGACTATTTGATAACAAATACTGTCTTTAATACAAAATGAATATCTGTCGTCCTCCACCCCATAGGCTTTAAATAACTTAAAACAGCAACATAATGATCTGGGAGAATTAAACCTCTTAGTTATTTTCATGTTTGTGGTTATACTGAGGAAATTAATAATTTATAGCCCACCTGCTCCATTTCAAAATAAGCAACACATTTCATACTGCAATAATTGACTGAATTTTAGAAAAATATACTGTACTATAATAGGTTACTTCAAAATGCTGCATCCATGTGTTGGGTTTTATTTTATAATATCTGGTAGGGTTTGGATAGACACTTTTATGCATATAGTAAAATTAAACATCATTTCATACTCATAATATACTTAAGAGGCAATGATGAGGAAGGCATGACTTGTCAGTGCTGGTCAATGAGGCCAAGTCACTAACTAAAGACCTCTAGAGACTAGCTCTGGAAGGGACCAGGCAGGGAAAGAGAAGAAGGCAAAATAGACCCTTTGTTTGTGCACCCCTGTGTATTCTACACTTAACACACAGCTTTGAATTAGAGAGGCACTCAGCCAAGAGGCACCTGCTGGAGGACAAGCAAAGCAACATCAATATATGCAGGTGATGCCGCCAATCAGGGAAGCCCAGGTTCTAAGCCTGCTCCAACACCAGGCTGTCCTAGGACTGGGGCTTGACCTCCCAGCTGTCAGGTTTTGCATCCATGAAACTAGGGTTGTCACAACCCATGATAGCTGCTATAACAAAATATTATAGACTTGGCAGCTTATTGTTATGAAAGCTGGCAAATCTAAGATCAAGACACCAGCAGATTCAGTGGCTGGTCAGGACCTATTTCCTGGTTTATAGCTGGTACCTACTCACTATGCCCTCACATGGCAGAAACGAGAGTTCTTTAGGGCTATTTTGTAAGGATACTAATCCCACTCATGAGGGCATCCAATCACCTCCCAAAAAGCTCCATCTCCTAATATCATTACATTGGTGAATGGATTTCAACATATAAATTAGAGGGAGACACAAGCATTCAGACCTTAGCAGGGGTTGAATCAGAGGATAAAGAGACGTGTAGCTCTAATATCCTATTCTTCTGATTAAAGAGCTATATGGACAGTGAGTATAGCAGACTGTTTCCAAAAATGGCTACAGCAATCCCCCCTCCCGCTACTGTATCCCTCACATCCCTTTCTCCACCCCTTGAATCTGAGCTTTCCCTGTAACTTGCTTTGGCCTATAGAACGTAGCAGAAGTGATGGTATGTGACATCTGTCACTAGATCCTAAAAAGGCATATATCTTCCATTTCACTCTCTTGGAAGCCAACAACCATGTAAAGAAGTCTAGGCTCTCCTTTTGGAGTAAGCATGTGGTGAGAGAAGGCCTTGGTACATCAAAGGCCATGAGAGGATAAAAGAGGTCCACAGCCAATAGCCAGCACCAACTGCAAGTAAGTGAGGCCATTTTGGACACCTTTAGTCAAGCTCCCAGCTAAATGCAACCACTTAAATGAATCTAAACAACACCACAGGAAGCAGAAGAACTGTTTAGTGAGAGCCCAAGTAAACCCAAATTGGAAAAAATGAATCATTGTGTAAATCCACTGTGTTTGGGTATGAAAAGAAAAGGGTAATTGAGACACTAAACAAACTGAGGTCACTGACTTTCTGTGTTTATGTCCCCAGCACCTAGCATACATGTTTCTTGTGGCTTCCTGATTCGCAAGGAAGTAAAACAGAGGAGAGGGTCAGCTTCTTGGGCTGCCATACCCATAGACCTTCAGCTGGACAGCAGGGCTCTCCCCCACTCAAAGCACATTTTCTCCACTAAAAAAGTGGAGGAAAAATTGCACTACTTTTTAATTTTGTAGTCTCTGTCAAAGTCAGTTAACCTCTCTAAACCTCAGTTCCTTAATGGTAACGTGAGAAGAACAATGGCCTCTATCTTAGACAGAGCTCTCATGAGAAAGAAACAAGTGAAATCACAAAAAACTTGAGCACAGTGTATGTTTCATTAGAAATAATGAAGAGAAGAAAGTTGGATAGGATGGGATGAACTGGGAGAGGGACAGGGACATAGAAGATTAAAGAGTCCCAATCACTATGTTTGCTGCTACAGAGCATGGAGAGTCTCAAAAAGTGTTTGAGTTAAATCAATGCAATAGAAACAGCAAGATACAGAGACAAGGCTACAAGAAGCACTTAGATGGCTGAGACACATTGATTATATTTCCCTAATACAAAGGTTAGAGAACACTGTATGTGGGTGTGAGGAGGCCAGAAATAATCCTAATAATACTGAATGAATGAATGAATGTATTCTAACTTTTATTTAGGTCTTGTTATGTGCCAATATACATGTATGAAGATACTTAACCTCTACAAGGTAATAACTATTTTTCTCTCCACTCAACAGCTGACAAAACTGAGGCACAAACAGGTTCCATGATAATAATACAGCCAAGGACACATAACTAGTAAGAGGTGAGAAAGCCAGCATTGCCTCCAGAGCCTGAACTTTCTCAGCTACTACATTACATTACATGTACATACAGTAAAAGGCAGGGCTCCCAACCCAGAGGAGCTCATGATATTGGTGAGGAACCAGGCTATGAACTCATGAAAAATACCTAAGAACGATTCCTGGGCAGATATGTATATGTGTAACACAATGCACCCTGGAGACAAGGTGCATCAGTGGCTTCTAACCCCGGGCTCATAGGGCAGCTTAAGCAGAACATTAGTTCTCCGGCTACAAACGGTTTTGACAGGAAGCAAACACATGAGAATGGGGAACACACAGGCACAGTCATGGGCCATATGGGCACCTGGGACCTCTGCTAACTTCCCTTCATGCCCCTGAAGACTGTAGACCCAAAGGTCATGGACAATGACTGAGCTGAGTTTATATTCCCAAAAAGTGACAAGTCATTTTCTACCTCTAAACTGCAGATAGGGTTATTAAGAATAACTATATCTACTATATCTACTTAAATTTTTTTTTGTAAATTTTGAAATAATTTCAGACTTCCAGAAAATTTGTTAAACAGTATGAAAATGCCCATATATCCTTTACTCTGATGTCAATATTGTACGTTTACTTTATTATTCTCCCATGTATCTATACACATCAGGGTTTCTCAACCTTGGGACTACTGGTGTTTTGGGCCAGTTAATTCTAGAGCTTTGGATTAGATAAGTCTAATATCCTGTAGAACACTGAACAGCATCTGGGGCCTCAAGCCACTAGATTCTAGTAGGACCCTTCTATTGGCCCTCCTGCTGGCACTCAGTAGTGAGAACCAGAAATGTCATCATACGCTGCCAAATGTCCCATGGGGGGCAAATCTCCCCTCGTTGAGACTCATTGATCTATGTCTTCACATTTATCTCTATTATCACATACAGATTTTTTTTCCTGGCCAAATTTAGAACAAATTGAAGATCAAAATAAATGACATTAGAAGGTTATAAACCATAGAATAAAATAAGATGCCAACTTTACCTTTTAACATTAAATGAAATTATCTCTATTTTGAAAAAGACAATTTATGTCAAAGATCAGGTTCTACATTTTTCATCTTCAATAACTAAGAAAAAGAGTTCAAGAGATTGTTTTACTGAGTTACAATTAATTTAGCAACCAACACATTCTTGGCATTCTAGAAATTATCATAAATAATGGTAAAAAACCTCAACAGAAATATACCCACCCCATGAGAAAAAGGAGAAAAATGGAAGTGAATGCCAAGCCTAAGCTATTTTCTGATATTCTGCCCCCTGTGTCCACTTTAGCAGAGATTCAGTCATGGAAAACACATTTCAGGAGTATATTATGTGGGGATTATGCTTTTGATTGGAGTTTTTGCATTTCCTCATTGTTTCAAACTGAAACATTGTTTTAAATTGAACTTTGCACGAGTTAAGAGAGAGAACCGCATCTCACTGGATGCCAAATTACAGTGCCTTCTACTTGAGGTCTGGGAAGCCACATTTTCAAACGCTGTGAAGATAACAAAATAGCTTCTTTGCTGATTAACTTAGATGTTCTTCAAGTCTCCTTCCCCCATAACCATCAATCCCTCTATAACAGGAGCATGCCTTAGAGGTAGGAAGAACTGTCTGTAAGATTCTGAAAAACTGCCTGGCAGTTTCAAGTTCAGT